AGTCCCCATGCCCTCAGGAGCTCCAGTGGAGCCCAAAGTCAACTCTCAAAGGGCATTCATTCACTCACTAACTCACTCATTCATTCATTCACTCACTCATTCACTCATTCATTCATTCACAACCGTGGGCTGAGCTCACAACTGTCGGCTGGGGAGGTCCTGGGCTGCCCTGGTGGCCATCAGGGAAGGCTTCCTGGAGGAGGCGGCCAAGTCTAAGCTGTGCCTTGAGGGGTGGGTAGGAGTTTGAGGAGGGAATTGGTTGGTGGCATCAGCGAGGGGTTGGAGGCTGTGGGAGGACAGTGAGGCCTCAAAGGTCATGTGTGGGGGGATGGACAGGCTGAGTGGAGGTCCCTCTGTGCCTGGGGTGACCACAGAGACCCCCAGGTCATTCCTGAAGCAGCCACTCCCCCTGAGGCCAGGCTTCCTGTCTCACAATGCCCCCCACACACACACACCAAGCCTTGTTCTCTCACCGTCACGGGACCCCAGCCCCTTCCTTCACCTTGGGGAGCCTCACGTGGCCTCCTGAGGTCACAGGGCAGAGCCAGCGGGGTCACAGCTCCAGCCACGCTCTGGACCCCAAGCCCAAGCACGGTCACAGCCCTCGGAGCTCCCCTCCCCCCCCCGGATCCGAGGCAGGGATGTCACCCTGACTCCGCCCAGGGTCAGGACACAGAGTCTGTGCGTCAGGCCCAGCCCCCAGAGACCCCTCTCTCCCACAGAGGAGCTCTTCAACCAGGAGGAGAAGGTGTGCTGGGAGGAGTGGCTGACCAAGGTAGGGAGGGGCCCACAGGCCTCTGCGGGGGCAGCGGCCAGAGCACCAGCCTGGACGGGCACCTGCTCAGCCGCGGGGGGCGGCCAGGGCAAGGACGTGACCACAGTCATGGGCTGGTCCCTGGGGGACGTGGGGTTTGAACCTCGGCCCCTAAGTGCCCGGCACAGGTGTCCAGCACATACAAGGCCTCCCGCCCATCTTGGGGGCTGGCCATGCCTGAGCGGGGGGTGGGGGGCGTGCAGCGGCCCAGGTCACAGCGGGCAGGCAGGGAGCAGCCGGTGGACTGGAGACGCCGCAGCCCAGGTGTCCGCCCGCCAGAGGGCCGCTCTGCCTGGGAGGAGGAGCTCCGGACGCTGGCCGACCTGGGTTCCAGGTCAAATTCAACCAATCACAGCCCGGCTGCGCGCCCGGCTGACCACCTTGCCTGGGTTTTCTCATCTGTCGCACGGGATGGAAGCTCCTGGTTGTGGGGGTTGGAGGAAAGCACCCACTGGGCTGCGAGGCGTCGTTACTGTCACTGTGTGGCCGCAGCGGCAGCGGTGTCACGGTCAAACGGGACCGGGAAGAAAGGAGGCCGGGGCGGTGGCGGCGACACAAGTCCTTACAGAGAAAGAGGATGGACGCTCCCTCCGGTGGGGAGACTTGGACAGCCTAACGGCCCCGGTTGATCTCATGGGCCTTCTCCCCGGTGCAAACAGGCCCTTCCCGGGACACAGTCACCCTGGCCCCGTGTCCATTCCCCTGGCTCCCCTCGTCTGGAGGCCCGAGAGCAAGCAGGGCCCGTTCTCTGGGCAGAACGCATGTGAGAGGTCAATCGTAGAGACGGGCCCGGGGACGGCGGAGGTTCGGAAAGCAGCCGGCACCCTCGCACGCG